GTCAACCCAATAGAACCCCTAGTCCATGGCACTCCTGACCTTTGGACATTAAAGAAGCCAAGTCTGCTGCCCATAGCAAATAATGGACCCTTAAAACTGAAAGGCAGAAGCGCCTCAGACCAGATGGGGGCACTGAAAATAATGGGTGGCAGACCTGGCCTCTAGAGACCTGGTCTTCCCATAGAAAGTAACAACCATTTAAAGTTTAAAAGTAAAAAATGCTGGGGACCAGGGGGGGGGGATGTTTTTTGTCCCTCCCTTCCTGCTCCCATTAGGGAATAATGCAAACAGAAAACTGTCTAAGGCAGGACAAACCATGACTGTCATAGCTATCTTTCCAAAGCTTGAGTTCAGTGGCACCTTTAAGACCAACAAAGTTTCATTCTGGATGTAAGCTTTTCTGTGCACAAACACTTTTCCAGATATCTTTCCAGTTATTATTAGAGTTGTTGAAGATAGAGAACAAATTCCTTTGTTCTGCACAGACATATTACAAGAATGTTGCCCTTTCCTTTAAATAAAGCACTGGTGTATATTGCTGGTCCCCAAGGGGGTAGTGAATAATATTAATTATTATTATTGTTGTTGTTGTTGCTGCTGTTATTATTAACTGTCCTTCCCTGAAGGGCAATGAACAAGTTAAAATACACAAAAATACATTAGTTACAATTACTAACTATAGATTACCATAAAATCAAACATGAATTGATGGCTTAAAATGCAGTGTGCTCCCTTCCCCAGGCAGATCAGGGGCCAGTCATAGAGGAGGTCACAGTGAGAGCCACAATGCAGGCCATTGCTGTCCTCAACTGTAGGCCTGGTGGAACATCTCTGTTTTACACACCCTGCGGAACTCAGCTAGGTCCCACAGGGCACGGATGTCACCAGGTAGAGAGTTCCACCAGGCCAGACTCAGGGCAGAGAAAGCCCTGGCTCTAGTTGAGGACAGCTGGACCTCTCTTGGGACAGGGGCCACCAGCAAGTTTTAATCTTCTGAGCGCAAGGCTCTTCTGCGGACATACCGGGGGAATGAACTTTGCTGCATTGATTTCATTGCTGTGTACGTAAAGTGCTGTCACAGCACAGGCAACTTATGGTAACCCCACAGATTTTTCCAAGGCAACAGATAAACAGAGGTGGTTTGCCATTGTCTCCCTCTTCATAGCAACCCTAGACTTCCTTGGTGGTCTCCCATCCAAGTTCTAGCCAGAGCTGACCCTGCTTAGCTTTCAAGATCTGATGAGATCAGACTAGTCTGGGCTATCCACTAGTACTTCAGCAAATTCTCACACCTACATGATATAGATGTACAAACAGTCCCAACTTGACTAGTTTGTTTCCTATACTCTGACATGTTGAACTGACCTAATTAGTGTTATCCAAGTGAACAGGATTTCAGTGCTTCTGAATTTGGATCAGAACTTACTTATTCCTGATGCAAACTCCTGTGTGATGCAGTGGTTAGAGTGGCAGACTAGGATCTGGGAGACCCAGATTCAGATCCCTAGTCTTCTATGGAAACTAACTGGGTGACCTTGGGTCAATCAATCTCTCTCAGTGTAACCTACCTAAGGGGGTTGCTGTGATGCTAGAATGGAGGAGAGTGTAAGCCACTCTGAGTTCCCACTGGGAAGAAAAGTGGGGTATAGATATTTAAATGGATTTTTTGAACGGAGTTCAGGGAAATTAATATCCTTCCCTGTTTACAAAAATATGAAACCAACTTTATGGCTATAATGTAGAGGCCCATCCCTAAACTGAATTTCTAACTTAGCAAGATGACACAACGTTGGATCAATATCATTATACAGAAACAATTTCCACTAATTTCATCTGAATTGGATCTAGAGAATATGTTGATGATCTGTGAGTTAAGCCTTTGAAATGCAACATTTTAAAAGGTGTATTTTTGTACATTACTCAATGCCAAAAAAAATCCTCTAATTATTCTAATTGACAGAAGTATTTCAATTGTGAAATGGAACACTATTCTTTTAAAAATAGCATAAAAATTGCATGTCCTTGATTCTATATTTCCCATCATTTATAAAACTGAATATAGATCTCATTGTGTTCATCATCTTGCTATGCCAGAAAACCCAATTTATACAGTAAATCCCAAAGGCTAATAGAAGCCTATGTTGACAGGTTCAATTTAGAAAAAAATATTTCAGCATGGTAACGTTCCACAAGAGTGAGCTGTCTTTCAAATGTCTGCTACACAGCAATATCCATTTGCAGAAAGGTTTTGAAATTAGCAGCTTTGCTCTCCCCCATTTCTACCCATCATGTGGACGTACAGATAATGAACAGGCTATGCCACACTTGCCATCAGGAACAAAATTTGCCACAGCTAAGAGGTAGCGATATGAAAACCTGAAATTAATTTACCACTTTCTTTAAGAACAGCATTACTCTGAAATATCCTGCTACTCTGGAACATAATCATACTTTCTTAATAATAAAATGGATAAAAATATTATTCATATAGCTGCTGGCCTGCCTGTTCTTCTAAATCTTTTGTGCTAAGTTTTACAAATCTTTAACATCCTCCTGAATGTGTGTGTCTGTCATGCTATGCAGATGCAGGGAAAAGTGTCCTGTGGAGAGCTTTTCATCATGAAGATGAAAGACTGCTTCCAGCCTTTCAGATGGAGACTCACTGGAATTCTGTATAAAGATAGATGCTGTCTTTTTAATAGCCATTACAGCAAACTGGCACAGTGTTACATTTTTCTCTGATCATTTTCATCGCTTAGGAATTGTATTAATTAAAAGCTGCCTCCTTCTTACAAAATAGAATTTTATATCCCCTCACTGGTGTGGTTATGCTTTTCCTAAAAGGAAAAGAGTTTTATAAGATACTTTAATAAAGAATGTTTTGAATCATTAGAAGTTATCAAGAGAAGTACAGTAACATGTATATATCAGGGTAGCTTTAAAAGAAAGAACAATATGGAACAGTCCTCACTCTAACAGAGACCCAAATAGAAAATAAGAATACCGGTCAAGTTCTGATTGAGTCAGCTGGATTTACTGTTTGAAGTAAAAGTAATACATTCATGTTCTGGAATTGGGTCTATACTACTGCCTTATCTCTGTGTAGATTGTAAAGTAGTTGAGTCATGAAATGCAAAATTCAGATAGAGGCTACCAGCCTCCGGTACTCATCTCAAAATTCTGCAGTTCAGATCTTAAGTTTTGAGATTCAGTGAGATAAACTATATGAAAATAAATCAGAATTCCCGTGGCACCTTAGGGACCAACAACCTGTATTTCTTCAATGTGAGCTTTTTGTGAGTGAGAGGTCACTTCGGATAACTGAATGTTTGTACTTAAACAAATGTTGTTAGCCTTTAAGGTGACAGTGGACTTTATTTTGCTACAACACACACCCCTCTGCAAATATTATATAAAAACCTATTTTTATCTGTGTTTTTGTTTTGGAATTCATGATTCTTACATTTTGAGTTCCCTGACTTCCTTACAAAATATGACAAAGGTAAGTATTTATAGATTCCTGAAAGCAACTCTCTCATGCAACAACTTTTTGGTGCTGCTGAAGGGCCCCATATTCAGCTGCCATATTTAGCTGCAAGCAGGTTCCACACCGCAGTTTACACAGAGCACTATATATCCCCATAAAGATCTGACAATGCCCAACCCTGCTGGAAGGATCCTACTACTCTATTTTCTTCAAAGTAAGCTTCATTCAGCAAAGTGCTGTTTCTCCTCACAACTGTCCTTTTGAAATTAGTTCATAGACACTTGCTTGGCATTGGTTGATTAATTACTTCCTGTTTACTTGAAGAGTCCCAACATTCCTGAATAGATCTTTACCAGGGTGGGAAAAGCTTTGCAGCAAATGAAACTGGTCATTATTTTATGCTCATAATTGTACAATTACAAAAGGATTATGGAAAAAATAGCATACTTTGAAGCCAAGAGACATAAAGGATAGTCTCCCTCCATTCCCTCAGATTTGCAGAGAAGACATGAAAGGAAGTAATTTATTAAGCACCCCCAAGAACTGGAAGCTGCTTTAAATGAACAGAACAATTTTGCCTCCATTTATTTAAGGCAGCTTTCAGTTTCTGTTCACTCTGCCTAAATGTGTTCTCAATCAATTCATCTACCTGGGGAGAGAAAATACTACATTATTCTTGGCTGTGTCTTATTTTCCATAATCTTAATTTCATAATTCATTACATTTACTGCAAAAAAATCACAAACATACCTAACATCACCATCATTACCACCCCACAAAGGTAACAGATGCATTCAGGAACTCTAGGGCCAGTTTGGTGTAATGGTTAAGTGTGCAGACTCTAATCTGGGAGAACCAGGTTTGATTCCCCACTCCTCCACTTGCACCTGGCTGGATGACCTTGGGCAAGCCATAGTTCTGGCACAGCTGTTCTTGAAAAAAGAGCAGTTTCTATCAAGAGCTCTCTCAGCCCCACCTACCTCACAAGGTGTCTGTTGTGGGGAGGGGAAGGGAAAGGAGTTTGTAAGCCGCTCTGTCTGGGTAGTGAAGGGCGGGGTATAAATCCAATCTCTTCTCTTCTTCTTCTTCATCTCTACTATGAGTCTGGAGGTAACTGGGAAAATGGTAAACTTAAAGGGGGGGGGCAATGAGGAGAGGACTGAAAGGGTCAGCAGCCGCAAACTGCCTCAATGGTAACTTATCAGTATGCACATGGACTATTAGCAATGACATTTCATTTTAAGAGGAAAAAAATCATCACAAATAAACTATGGAGAAAACAGAGAAAAATAGCACAGAAAAAAACGTGATATGAAACAAACTAACTGATTTTACCCGGACCCATAGTAACAACACTGTAAATGAACCATGACAGTGCTGAATGAAAGGTTCTGTAGAACCACCTGGAGATTCAGGTACCATCTTGTTTGAGCATTAATACTGCTTATGCAGAACATAAGAAACAGGCTTATCTGTGATGTTTTAAATTAAAAAAAAAAGTTGTCTACCTTACCAGGTACTAATATGGAAGGCAGCGTACAGTTTTCACTTTCCTCATCAGTGCTTCCTTCATAATCTTCTCCTTCAGCTTTTCTTTCAGATGTAGCCACAACGTCCCTAGATTAATACAAAGAAATTTTTCATTAATTCTTTAAAACATAATTCTCTATCATTAGATAGGACAACAATCTTTCCATTTAAAAGAATATATAATATACATAAACAGGAACTCCTACAAATATTAGCACTTAACGATAAATGCTTCACACACATTTGACCAATGTGCTTTAAGTTATATGTGCTTTCCAAGGACCACTTCAAACTACAGTGGAAACAGGCCCTCAAATTTACAGTGTAACTACTTCTACTGTAATGTGTAATACTCCCCCCATTATGAATAAACCATTTGCAGATAGACATTCTGGGGAGCCAATAGGGCAAGCTTCTCATACCATATTTCTGTGACATTTCAGGCACAATAGTTCTGAAAGGAAAGTAATAGCACCTTTTTAGTGTGGGGCCCTCTGTAGCTTCTTTAGCTTCTTTCAAACACTGTTGTAAACTTCTTATCTTTGCTTTCTTCTCATTGAGGACCAGGATAAAACGCTTATAAAGCTCAGTTTCTAGCTCTTCTTTAGCTTCTACACATTTTAGTAACCTTAAAAATAAACACATAATTCACACTTAAAATTAATAAGTAATACCTGCAGAATATATTTATGGTCTTGACAACTTAAAACGTATGGCATGGCAGAGATCTGTTAAGTAGGTGTGAATGGCTAATTTAATGGCATCTGAATTAATTGGATTAACTATATCCAGATCTTATAAAAAATCTTTGACTACAGCCTCTTCCATCCCATGGAAAAATCAACCATATAGATATCTAAGGTATGTGTTATGTTTTGGAGTCATAAGTTGCAAGGTAGAGGGTTGGATCCAGTGCAAAATTTTCACTAGAGTCCTTGCATAAGTAGAAACACAAGAAAAAGACCATGGTGCTGCTTGCAAACTTATTGTATCCCACTTGCTTTTCCTCAAGATCTTGTGCAATCAGTTTGTGGGCATTATAATATATAGTCTCTCCATCTGCTTTTCATAAATTATTGTCATTTTCTGTTAGGAGGGGAATGTTGACCCCCCCCCCCAAGACTCCCAGCCAAGAGCATAGGAGCTCAGGGATCAAGTCAGAGGACAGGAGCAACCAGAACAGACATTACAAAGAACCAAGGCCAGGTGAGAGAAAGGAAAAGAAGACAACAGGAACCCCAGCCTTTCAACGACAAGATGAGCACGGAAGGCCCATGAAGGGATACCCTGGAGGACTGGGGATCTTATCTATCTGGCCAGCAAGACGGACACCGTTGGCCAAAGGAGGATGAAGTGGAGGAAGTGAGCGACATCCCCAGAAATGCTCGCCAGATCAAGAGGAGGAAGGATGGAGCAGAATCAATGGGATTGGGGAATTGGCTAGCCGCTCTCCTCTGAAGGGAATGGGGGAGTGGCAGGTATGGGGTGGGGAGATTTAAGGGAGAGAGAAGCACAGGCTGAGGAGAATCATCCTCAAACCTCTATGAGTAGAGAGCTGGGTAGAGTGAGAGAGATGAAAGGAAGCTTGGAACAGAGGTGAGGAGAAGGAGGCAAGAGGACCTGGGTGAGGAAACCCCCTCCATCCCTTCAATCTGAGGCAGTGCTGAGATCCTCTTACCCTAAAATCGTCCACCCTGGAGCCTGACTCTCCTCCTACTGACCCTGTGAGTTCTCAAAATTCAGACATTTTATTTGTTCTGTTTTATCTGTTTGTACACAGACTTCTTTTCATGTCTATATGTTTACAATGATTCTCGTACTAAAATGCAAAACACAGTAGGTGTGAAAGTTAACTACTACAGTACAAGAAAAGAAACATCCTACATTGTCAGGGGGAAGTGATGGAATATTAATGTTACATGTTATATACTAGAATTTAAAATTCCGGAGTGATTTAAAAAAAAAAAAACATGGAAAAGATTCGGGTATGTTGTCCATTTAGAGAGGAATCCAAGTTTTCATGACACTCAGGGGAAACAAGATAAATTTGTTTATTTTTATTTACTTCATAGTCTGCCTTTCTCACTGAGACTCAAGGCGGATTATACAAGTAAGTCAATATGATCAATAGGCTGGGGCACTGCCCCTTCCCTGCTGTTGTATGAGCAAAGCATACTTCAAGCCAAGTTTGTTCCACTTGTGCAAGAGCAAAGGAATGTGATTTTGAAATGCAAGCTAAGAATATAATACCAAGCTGCTAAAAAGTTCACTCATTAGGTTGCAAGAAGCTGTAAAGGCCAGCAAATTAACAAGAGCCAAAAAAGAGGGAGAGGGGATTAAACAACATTGAACAGTGGGTCTGAAAATTATTCCAATGTAAAGATTTCCCAACATTTTATTTCCAAAAGCTACAAATTAATAGAATCACTCAGGGCTCATTCAGACTGCTATGTAAACCTATATAATTACGTAACATACATAAGATATGGTTTCTTGTTGGCTTTAAACTATTTCCTACAAGCTGAGCTAGTCCCTTCAGTGAGCTATGGTCACCTGCCGCATACTGAGCAAAGCAAAGGCCTGCTTTCTGAATACCAATCACATCTATACACACTGCAGTGGTGTGTGAAAACAGCTCAGCATATGTTCAGACCAAGCATTTAAAGTCAACGACCCACTGGTACTGTTTGGTCAAATTAATAAGAATGTGTTTAACCAACCAAGAGAATGAGCCCATACTCTGTTTAGTAGCAATCAGGTGTTCCCAGACAAATGGATCACTTTCACATGCCAACCACTGAGCACAACTGGGAGCCAAGTTTTCTCTATAGTATGTCACCAAAGTGATTGAAAACCCACCTTAAGTATAAGCATTTTTCATGCATCAAAGGAGCTCTGGAAACATCTAGGCTAGCATAGTGTTGGCCAACTTTATGACTTATGAAAACTCAACATTCTGATTGGAAGGCCCTTAAGTACTTCTGCTCTTTAGAACAAAGCAACTCTAAACAGATCTCCGTGAACCACAGAATGAATCTTCTCTGGGCTCCACTCAGTACACAGTTATGGCACAATGAGTGACATTTTAATTCAAAGAATGCTGTTGCATTGTATTTTACTGGTGCCGCTGCTAGCCAGAAGAGGGCACTGCATAAGGATCCAGATCAGGTAGCACTGGCCCGTCAATCAATGGAGCCTTGCTTTCCTTGCACAGCCGATTGAGTTAATACAATGCATGGAAAGCTATTTGTGTGAAGTTGTGGACTTGGATGCCAACTTCTCCTCATTGTGTCATCTTCTCCTCACTGCCCCCAACAGAGAGGGATGTAGATGGTGGCAGCCTGTCCTGGGGGTTTTGGGGTGGTCGCTCCAATGCTCTGAACTGACTACCAGTGGAAGTGAGAACTGCTTCCTGCATGCCATCCTTTCATAGGATTTATTCATGCAGCTTTATTTAGGTTACATTTTTGTATTTGGAGGTTTTAGACTGTCATTTATGGAGGATATACCTGGTTTTAAACTGACGTAACTTACTGTTTGATTATAGCATACTTTGTGTTTGTAGATTTGATTGCTTATATTACATGCATACTGTAAACCACCTTCAGACCATGTTAGTGGGAAAAGGTGATCTAGAAATATTTAAAATAAATCACCTATAAATATGAACTTTAAAATTTAGCCTCTTCAAAGATTATAAAACCTCAACTACAGTTTACGTTTTAGAATGTACAGAAATCATTTGAATCCTAGCACATTAAGCAGTATTAGCAAAATATAGATTTTACAGCTTTACATAGTAAATGTTCATTAAAAATAATCTTATGAACAATTAAGATAGTCTGCCAGGATGTTTTATGAATATGTTCAATAGCTGATAAATAATTCATCTAATTTAAATGCAAATTATTGAGCGACATTACCATACAGATCAGTTCAATAACTCTTAAAAGAAAGATCATATGTACTAATCAACTACCAAGAGTATTTCCATGTATAAATCAAATTTTAACTGTTTAGTGGGGAGGGCGCTGCACTGAAATGGTAAAATAGAAAGATTAACATACAAAGAAATACTTTTAAACAGTTCGTCATGAAAGAAAATTCAAATAAATGTTTCAGAATATTAGCTGATTCTGGGAACTTTTCTACTCTGTAAGAATGATTTTAAAAATTGGCTCTTCTTATATACAAACTATAGTATAGCACATTACCAGTATGAAAATGTATTTTGACTATCTGAATTGTAGCCATTTAGGTGATAAACCACAATTATAGACATATAGGTTTGATGGTTTTTGATAGCTTGATATTTAACAAAATACAGTGATGCCAGCAACATTCATTTAATATACAGCAATGGTATACAGCAATTCCAGGAGCCATTTTTTCTCTTTTGAAAAATAGATCACATTCTTAGAAAAGACAAAAACATATTGGATTTGTACATGAATGGCTGTGAAATGCTTTTTTTCTTTTATCCTTTGTTGCATTATGTCTTGTATTGCTCCCCTCTTCCCCCCTACCCCAAAAGTGGTGATGCTGACTGTAAATTGTCTGCTATGCCAGTATCTGGCAATCATTGTCAAATAATTTATTCAGCTGCCACAACATCCAAGCTGCATTTTTTATGTGCAGTTTATAGTTCAAGTAATCTGTCAGGTGATCTCCTTTAAAGTAAATGTTGGCAAATACCAAACCACGTGTGGAGAGGGAATTTAGTTCTAATCTACACATACAGGGATTTATATCTTTTTACTGTAAAAACCAAGAATAGGACAGTAGTGAGATGCCAGGACTCAGAGATTACATACACTAACTAGACGTATTCACATTTGTGAAGCTTATATGTGAGAAATCCCTGACGATGTCTATCAATTTTCAGTTCATGTTGTCCAGGGGTGTGTTTGCTGGTGCTGCATTTAATGGCGCTGCAAAAGATACGGAAAGAGGATCCAGAGCCCACCAAGCAGCCTGGTGTTGTTCTAGTGGGAATGGGGAAGATGCCACAAAAGCAGGCAGGCATGACCATGGTGGAGCTGCAGGAAAGAACACATAACTTTGAGGAACCACAGCCCACACCAGGCTCTTCTGGTCACATCCAGAGAGGAAAGAGAGTGGGTGTGAGAGGCTGCTTTGCCCAGTCAGGCACTCTTGCACATATCATTGTTACTTGCAAAAGAAGAGGAGGCCCCTATTTGGCAGCGCACACATTACACCTCTCAGAAACAGTCCAAACACTGGCCATGGAGGAGGTAGGTAGGCTTCGTTTACTTTAGATGAACCTCAACTAAGACAGAGGAGACCAAAGGTGCTAGAGGGTGTGCTGGCCCCAGATTCCCAAGTGTCTACACCTCACACATGTACCAAAGAAATACAGGCTATATTCAGACACCATGAAAAATCTCTGGTTCTCTGTGACAGGCACAAAACCAGTTTGTTGTCTTGTTCTTGAATTCTTCCCTCTTATCCCCTCATACTTAAAAGCACTGATGGAAAGTGTCCTGGTTCCAGAAGACTTAAATGCCAATTTGTCATGGCATAGTGAAAACTCCTGGTCATATTGGAGTTTGTCCTCACAAACTTGGCTTGCAAGCCACATTTTAATCCTGGTTTAAAATTCAAGTTTGTGAGGAGGAAACAAACTCCAAATTTGACTAGGTACCTATATTTGGCTATCATTTGATTTTGATTCAATGCCTTAAAAACTATGAAGCTTGCCATCATACTCTGTGCATGAGGGGAGGAGGGAGAGTAATGTGTGACGACAGCAATAAGCCAGGTTTGTCCATCACAAACAATCAGAGATGTTTCTGCATCCAGCTAAGTTCTTTATACAGAGAGGTTTATGTTCAAATTCATGTGCCTAACTCAATATTTGCATAAGTAGAATGATATTTATAATGAAGTCTGCTGGTATTGTGTTTGATAGGTAAGTAGAATGCAACAATCAATATGGGAAGGAAAGATCCAACCACAATTATCCCATGAATGTTAGTTTTCAACTTACTGCCCCTGCAGGTCATCCACATCACTTAAAAGTCTTTCATTCTCTTTTCGTAAGTCTTCGTTTTTGGTCTGCAGTCCCATTATGCTGTGTAGGCAATAGCTAATCATCTCTCTAATGGTTTCAGCTGGGCTTGAGACTGCTTGTAAATCCATCGATCCAAGTCTAAACTATGGCAAAAGGAAAAACTGAGTTAACTGGGCTAGAAAAGATCCTGAATTCCATTATCAATCACACATATACAATTTATACCAAGGTGTCAAACGTGTGGCCCGTGGGCCAGATCTGGCCTGCACAGGACTCAGAACTGGCCCTCAAGCAAATTCCTTCTCCTGCTTCCTTTTCCAGGGCTGCTTCTGCAGCCGCACCCTAGCTTGTCTTTTTCCAGCTCCCTCAGTGGCTCTTTGCTTCCTTGCCCTTTCCTCCCTCCCTCCCTCTCCCCGGTCTCTCTCTCTCTCACACACACAGACACAGAGAGCGTTTCATGGCTGCTTCGTGCTGGAGAGGTACAAAAACAAGCCTCTCTCTCACACTCTCTCTCAAACGCACACAGAGCGTGCTTCTGCTTCCTTCTCAGGGGCTGCTCCTCCTCTTTTGGGGGGAGAAGGAGAGAGAGAGAGAGAGAGAACAAGCAATAACAAGCAACAACAAGAGAAAAAAGCAAAGCCTTCTGCCACCACTTTAGGAGAGGTATGATGCCTCCCATCTGAAGTATTCAGCTTAGTCACTAGAGCAGCCTTTCTTCCTTCTTTGATTCTCCATGCCAGCATACGGATATTCCTGGGGGATTTTTGCCAGTAGTGTTGTTTCAGAGAAAGTAAAAATTTTTGGATTTGGGCTGTTTCCGTTGCCTCTAAGACCTTTCTTTCCGCCAATAGAGTTTAGCATAGGTTCTCTTACTCCCTGTGTCTTTATGTTTAGGTTCCAGCAGGGCGATCCAGTCTAATTTTTCTCTTCTGATTTTTTCTCTTTGTTTCCTTAGATGTGATGTGAGAGAAATCATTGATCCTCGTAGAACAGCCTTCATGGCATCCCAGCATGTGGAGGTAGAGACGTCTGATGATGAGTTTTCTTGGGAAAAGTTCCTGATGTCTGCCTCCAGCTTGTCCTTAATTATGGGGTCCAATAAAATGCTTTTATCCATGGACCATTGTCTATCTGGTTTTGTGTGCAAATTTTCCTGTAATTGGCATTCTAACCATGCATGGTCTGTCAGGTACCTGTTGCCGATGGATGCTGATTCCAATTCCGGTAACAAGTGTTCCAATATTAAAATATAGTCTATCCTCATGAAGGTCTGGTGCTGTGCTGAAAAGTATGAGAAGTCCCAGTCTGTCGGGTGTAGGAACCTCAAGGTATCTGTTAGTCTGAATTCCGAGAAAAGTTTGGATAGCCCTGTGCTTGTTCCCTTCTTAAAACACATTTTAGTATTTTGTTTCAAAGAGGACCTATCTAATATTTTGTCTGCAATGTAATTGAAGTCTCCCCCTAAGATTAACTCGCCTTTTATGAAGGCCTGTAACTCCAATAAGATGGATTTCAAAAAAGCAATCTGATTTAGGTTTGGGGCATATATTGACGCTAGTGTGAGTTTCCTGCCGTCAAGAGAGCCCTTAATAAACAGAAAACGACCCAAAGGGTCTATTTTTATGCTGCTGACCGAGAAGTTGAGTGTTTTGGAGAGCAGTATCGCCACTCCTCTTGCTTTAGATGACCCCGGTGCCTGAAATTGTTGTGGAAACCAAGAAGATTTTAAAAGAGGGTGTGTATCAGATCTGGAGTGTGTTTCCTGTAGAAACAGAATAGATGGCTTTGTTAGCTGCAGTTGGCGTAAGACTTTTCTTCGTTTGACACAGGTGTTAAGACCTCTAATGTTAACCGACTGAACTTTCAGAGTGTTCATTATGAGTTAAAGAAGAGATATTAGATTTTGTGAATGAGGGTATGAAAGGTGTTATGATTATAGTGTGTAGTAAAAATGACAAAGGTAGTGCCTACAAGAAAAAGATGTGGCCGTAATAGCGCAGAGGCAGCAAGTTTGAACTATGTGTGTGTTAATACCAGTTAAGTATTCAACCTGTATATACCAGCAACTGTATAAAAAAGTGGCTTTTATGAGTCTTTTTTTGTTTTTGTTTTAGATTTTGCTCCCAAGTATACAGAAATAAGATAAATTAGTTATTAGCAATTAATTATCAACAATAAACAGATTTTTCTCAATTAGGTAAAAAGAGCTAATCAAGTTATCAGCAATTAATTTAAGCTAAAGTCAGCTTATTAATAATTATCAACAATAATCAGATTCTCCTCTATTTTATAAAAAGTGCTAATCAAGTTATCAGCGATTAATTTAAGCTAAAATCAGGTTATTGGCAATTAATTATTAACAATAAACAGGCTCTCTGCAAGTAATCAGAAGAGCTTATCAAATTATCAACACTCAGTTAACAACGATCAGATCCTTATCAATTAACTTCCAGTTGCAATTACAAGCCTACAATGAAATATAAATATTGAGACAGTGTGTGACTGCAATAAAGAAGGCCAATGCTATGCTGGGGATTATTAGGAAGGGTATTGTAAACAGATCAGCCAATATCATAATGCCGCTATATAAATCAATGGTGCGACCTCATCTGGAATACTGTGTGCAATTCTGGTCACCACACCTTAAAAAGGATATTATAGCTTTGGAAAAAGTGCAGAAAAGAGCAACTCGAATGATAAAAGGGTTGGAACACTTTCCCTATGAGGAAAGGTTAAGGCGCTTAGGGCTCTTTAGCGTGGAGAAACGACGACTGAGGGGTGACATGATTGAGGTTTATAAGATTATGCATGGGAAAGAGCAGGTAGAGAAAGAGGTACTTTTCTCCCTTTCTCACAATACAAGAACCCGTGGGCACTCCATGAAATTGCTGAGCGGTCGGGTTAGAACGGATAAAAGGAAGTACTTCTTCACCCAAAGAGTGATTAACACTTGGAATTCACTGCCACAGGAAGTGGTGGCGGCTACAAGCATGGACGGCTTCAAAAGGGAATTAGATAAGCATATGGAGCAGAGGTCCATCAGTGGCTATTAGCCACAAGGTATAGATAGGGACTCTGGGGCAAGTGATGCTCTGTCATCTTGGTGCTTGGGGGAGTCAACAGTGGGATGGCTTCTAATGTCCTGGCCCCACTGGTGGACCTCCTGATGGCACTGGTATTTCTGGCCACTGTGGGATACAGAGTGTTGGACTGGATGGGCCTTTGGCCTGATCCAACATTGGCATCTCTTATGTTCTTATGTTCTTATGTTCTCTAATCTGGGAGAACCAGGTTTGATTCCCCGGAGATCCATCCGCTGACAGTGAAGAGCTAGAGTCTCGGGATAAGATCTTGTTGTTTTGTTCCGGAGTGGTTGGTGAGCATGATTTTTGTTTCCCAGATCTCCGGTATAAGTCAGAGCGCTTTGAGAGACATAGCTTTTCTAGTAGCTCAAAACCTGAGTCCTTATCTGAAGCTGTGAATAAGGAGCCATGGTGTAAGACCTGCAGGCAGCCAGAGAGGAGCCATCTGTAATGCACCTTTTCTTCTTGCAACCTGTTAGTGACCGATTTAAATTTTTTCCTGATATTGAGAGCTTCCTATGACACATCAGGGAACACTAATACTTTAAAATCTTTAAAAGGTAGTTAGCCTCTGGCTCTCGCCTCGTCTTGTATTTTTTCTTGGTTCTCCAGTCGGCTAACTGGATGAGTAGATCTCTTGGGGCAGTACGGGTTTGAGGGGAGCCCCCAGCCAGAACACCTTTAAAATGGTCGGAGCTACTCTTGCCTCAAGTTTAAAGACTGAAGCCAACCAGTTAGTCACAAAGCAGATTAAATCCATGTTTTCCTCCTCGCCCTCCGGCAGCCCTCTTAATTTCAGATTTAACTGTTTCATTTGAAACTCGAAAGTTAGGAGCCGTTCCCTCAAGTTTAGTTCTCGTTCCTGTATCTCTCTAACATCTTTCTTGAGCGCTGAGCTCATAGTGATAGCCGTTTTTGCCGTTTTTTCTAAGGAGGATTGCATTAATGAAAGCTGCTCCCTTATCGGCTGTATTTGATCGCTTAACCGTTTTTCCATTCTTTCTAACTGACCTGATAAATCTTGTTTAGCTAAGGCTTCTTCTAGTAAGCGTATGAACGATTTGTCATCCGCCATCTTAGGTTTTTCCGTCTTGGCCGCTTTCCTGTCAGTTCTGCTTAGTCTGGGAGTGAAAAAGTCTTGTGGCAGTTTAATGGGGTTTTTATGTCCGGAGAGTTGCTGCCACCGTTTTTCGGCATAATCTGGTAGTTTTACAAGGATGAAGGTTGAAGTAATTACTGTGAGGGCGGCTTCTGGAGGAAGAGCAAAAGAGCGTGAAGATCAAACGACCGCCATCTTTCCAGGTATAAGCTTTTGTGTGCAAGCACACTTTTAGGGAGGGAGGGAGGGAGGATGATTTTTTATTTCTTTTAAAAAAATTAAAACAAAGTTTATTAATAATAAGGTCAGGATACAACCACAGTCATCATATCTCTCTCTATATATATATAGCTATACATACATGTATACAAAGCTGGTGAATCAGTATGAATTTTTCTGACAATCACAATGGCCCTGATTAGGAATTAGAACACTTGCATTGGTCCTTATCTTTTGGAATGATTTCAAATGCCAAATGATAATAGCACACATTGGTAATGAGATAGGAAAACTAGGTCTCAGTTCAGTCCAGGAGGATGCATTGTCTTAAGCTTCATTATCAATTGCAATTCAGCAGTCTCTCTTTCTAATCTCCCTTTGAAATTCCTATGTAAGAGCACTGCTACTCTTAGGTCAGCAACTGAATGCTGTGTCCATTTATTCTTTGCATACTCCTGGACTTAATCCTCCTGGATGGAATTGAGACTTACGTTTGCCGTCTCATTACCAATACTGTTATCCCCACACCTACTACCCCTCTGCATATCACATCTAATCCAATCAAGCCTACTATTTTCATTCACCTGCTATTGCCATTCAGCATCTGAAATCACCTTTATAAAGTTTATATCTCTGGTACCTCGTGTTACATTTTATAGCATGCATGGCCCAGCCCAACAAATTGACAGTTACGTCATATCTGGCCCTTATAAAAAACGAGTTCAGCACCTCTGATTTACAC